TGCCTTGCCAAATACATTCTGAAGAGAGGCAATATTTACATATCTGATTTATATCGGGATGGATATATTTCTATATTAAACAGATGAAAATACAGGAACACTATTCCACAATACAATAAAAACACAATATACCATTCAAAAGGCATCAGAGAAATTTACAAGACATCTGAAGAAAGAATGACACCCCATAATTAGATATACAAAAATCCCTAAATACATATTTAAGATGCTACAGCTGCTACAGGTAACACTATATTCTTTAAAAATGGAGTGTATGTTTCAACCTGGGACCAGATATCTTGCTTCTACTGAAACCAAATTGAATTTTGCATCTTATTTCATTGGAGTATTATTATAGCCCACTTCAATAGCCTTAGAAGTTGATGATACCACTTCTCACTTTTATTGGTGATTGTAAGACCCTCTAATTCCCTTTTATTCAACTGACACAATCTTAAATTCAGACAAGCAATATCTGGATCAATTACAAAAAATGCACAGTATATATAATAGACTCATTAACGTTTTTCAGACCTAACCTGAAAATTTTGGGTCCAATTGTTCCAATGCAGGTAAACTCAGAGGATTCATCCCTTCCTAATTTAACTGCAACAAAGACTGGCAAAAGGAAATACAAAAAAAATTAGGGAAGTCCTGTCTCCCATCCAGTTTTTAAAGGATTCTGTAAATAAATCAAATGCAAGTTGTTATTGTATTATAAAAAGCACAGTGATAAATAGAGTTGCCCATATTCTGTTCTTACATACAGGGCAGGCAATTCCTTCTGTGAAGTCACAAAGCTATTGATTGATTCACTGATTCATTTAACAAAGATATCTTGTTTCCACTTGTAAGTCATTTGATCATATTCAGAGAATCTGGATTAAATTTTGTCTGAGGCACTCTTTTATTTGGTGGGGGGAAGTAAAGAAGAGGAGGCCCAAGAATGCTTTTCCTACAAACTGTAATCAAACATTCCATCCTTCCTCCAACACTGGAAGAAAATTCAAAATCTATCTGCTGATTCCCTACTGGAGGATTCCATTTAGAAGTACAGGGATGTATATTTGTTTGATCAACTACAATGATTAGAGGACAACACACAAGAAAAGACAATCCCTGCAATAAGGATCTTACAATCCTATTCAGCTTCCCCAACTAAAATTGAGTAGTACCGTAGCTCAGAATAATAAGATGCTATTCAGTGTGAGCAAGTGTGGCAGGAAGGATCTGACTTTAAACTGTGATATATATCAATAGCATACTCTTATGTTTGTGATCAACAACCTAAGGCACTTTATACATCCTTCGTAGTAGACATTCTGTCACCTTAAAATTAACAGGTTTTATTTATCCCATTGTAATATGCACAATAGATTTATTAAATGTTAATGGAATTTAGGTGTACACATTACAGGGGTATTAGATTTCTAAGAAAGTATGTGCCAACAATGCTTAGGCAAGAGACACCAAAGACATTTCACTGCTACATGAAAACAACCAAACATCATAAGAAATAATTTGTTCCCCAGTATTCACAATGAACCAAACACATTTGCATTGTTATTGCGGAGCATCAACTTCAGGGAAGGACATTCTTGTTTCATGTGAGCTATTACTAAGAAATACTTTAGCTTCTAACATTAAAGATTCTTTTGTCATTCAGAAGATTCACTGATAACTCGTAAAAAACCCTCCGAAAACCATTTCACTTAGAAACAAATCTGCCTTGTTTTCCCAGCCCCCCATTTAAACAGTAAATAATTGCCAATCCTCACTTGAAAACTTTCACTGATTTCAATGCAGTCATCATTTTATCCTGAGTCTTTCCATCCTAAAAAGTTCAGGTGGTGAAAAAACAGCCAGGGCAGGCAAACTCTCCACACAGAAGTGTTTTTTCCCTTTCCTCTGGCACAAGTTTAGCAGTGTATATGATAAATACAGGAGAACTCTTCTAGATATTAAAGGTCCATGAGTGTTTCTGGTCCTACCATGGCTATGTGAATGAAACCAGGTATTAAAATAGGGCACAGATTCTACTGAATGGTTTTTAAATGGCAATTTTCCCCCAAGAGAGTCTAGTGACTCTTACATTTCAGTAGGTGGAATTGTTGACCTTACACTCACAATTTGATATATGTACTTTTATGTGTGTGGCTAATATGATTTAAAGGCAACCCTAAGGTCCTGATTAAATTTAAACATAGTACAAAGGGTCCCATCACCAGAAGTAGATGCTTGGATTTCTTTCTTCTCTTATAGACTAACAAAATACATTCACCATACAAGAAATGTATTAATCTTCCAAGGTTCTCCAACAGTTTTTGCAAAATACTGCAGGTGGTTGGAAATTTTAATGACTACCCTTCTGCTCAAAAGAACAAATCATAGGAACATAGATTAATTGCTACGTGGTGACTGGGATCTTTGAAGGTCACTACTTTTAAAGCACTCCATTTCACTTAAAAGACTAATAGGAATTACAGATTAACAACAGAGAATAGTTGCACTTTTTAAACATAGACTGAATAAGAAAAGGGATGAAACTGTGGAAATTGGAGAATGTTTTCAGGTTTTTATTTTAAAAAGAACTAAATGTGTTTAATACTAATAAGTGCAATATCATAAGCTAAAATAAAAGTTACCAGGGCTACTAATTCTCATGTTTTGTACATAAATAGATTGAACATCCTGGGGCAGTTCTGATTTTTCACATATTGTCCCAGTGTCTGCAGGGATCCCTAGAATATCTTGTGCTTTAATTTAATAAATCAAAAAACAACATAAGGTCTGGCAACATAAGGTCTGGCAGACTAACAAAACATGTAGATGGTATCGTGAGCTTTTTGTGGGCACAGATAACATCTGAGGAAGTGGGCTGTACCCACGAAAGCTCATGATACCATCTACATGTTCTGTTAGTCTATAACATGCTACCAGACCTTTTGTTGTTTTTTAAGTTTATCCTATACAGACTAACTCGGCTACCCTCTGAAGCGTCAGTTAATAAATCAAAACATTCACAGGAACATAGGAATTACCAGAATGGATCAGACATGTGTGGTCCATCTGGTCTGGTATCTGACAATGTCCAATACCACATGTTTGAGAAGATAAAAGAAATCTTCCTATAGGTCAATGGTCATCAACCTGTTGATCGCGATCGATAGTCTCAAGAGTCGATCACCATGGCCAGGTGGTTACCCCTCTTTGTTCCAGCCCAGCTGGAGTGCAGGACAGCCTTGGCGGGCTGAATACCATGGCCAACTGGCCGCGTGGCTGCCCCTTGTTAACTTGCTGGCTGGGAGGGTTGGAAGAGGCACGTGCGTGTATCCCTGGCTCTTGCCTCCTGCTCCGGGAGAGGACGGGGTTGGGTGGCTGGCACACGGGGCTGGGTGGTCTGGACTGCATCGCACTACTCCCCGCAGGCTGTGTATGGGGGCAGAGAGCCTTGTCCCCGGTGCCCCGCTGTGGCTAGCCAGGCTGGCACCAGCCCTGCACAGCCCCGGGGTCTGCCTGCCCCGGTTCCAGAGCTGATGGCTGGGCAAGGAAGAGACTCTGCCCCCCCCTCCCCCCCGTGCCTCTCTGTGCCTCAGTACTGTTTCCAGGGGGCTGGGAATCCTAGTACTGCTGTCCTGCCGATGAGCATGCTGGAGGCACAGGAATGTGAGGGCAGGAGAGAGGATGAAGGAGGATGTGGGGACAGGGATTGCACTGAGGGGTATGGGGCGATGCAGGGGATCAGGCTGGGGGGGGATCATGGGGCTGAGCCGAGTGAGGCTGGATCACAAGGAAGATGTGAGCTTTACATTGCAGAAGATGCACTTTCCTTTACTCCCCACTTCTTTGCCTCCCTTCCCAACTAGCTATTTGGCTGCATTATCACCCTCTCACCTTCACTGCTTTACTCCTTCAACCCCCTGCTACCTCCAAGCTCCTTCTCATACCCTCACCCCACACCCTCTCTTGCCACCAAACTCCCTTCCAGACCCTACCCTCCTCACCGCATCCTGCACTGCACCTTCCACCCAGATCCTGCATCCCTATCCCGCTCGCTGGAAGCCCTGTCCAAGCATATTGAGCCCCTCATTTTTGTTCCCATCCCAGAGCCTAAGGGGGTCCACAAAATCCACTACCTCTGGAACCATGGAAAAGTAAATCTGGCCCATGGGGAATGTGGAACCTCAGTCCTCCCTGACCCTTCTCCTCACTCTGTGGGGGCTAGAGTGCCAGAGAAGTGAGGTGTCTCAGTTGGGGCCACATCAGTGAGGGTTGAGGGTTTGGGGAGGAGTTTTTTTGCTTCTTACTTGTGTGGTTCCCAACTGATCTTCCTGTAAGTCAGTGATCCCCTGACTCAAAAAAGGTTTCCCACACCTGCCATAAAGAAAACATTGAAACCTGTTGTGTTGAACATAATATTTTATTTCGTTTAAAATGAAGTTTGATAAACTAACATGAGAAAGTTAAAACGATTAATCTGTTTAATAATTTAAATTAAAACATTCTCCTCAGCTGCAGCACTAGCAAAATGGCTTGGGTGTAATTATGTAATTATCGGTGAGTTAATTAGAAACAGCTAGTCCAGGGGAAGATTTAGAGAGGGTAGGGCCTCAAGGAAGGGATGAGGTCTCGGGGAAAAAATGGGGTAGAGCCTGGCTTGCCCTGACATTTAAAAAGTGATCTTGGGTGTAAAAAGGTTGGAGACCACTGCTATAGGCAGATGTGGGATAATATGGTATTTTATGAAGGTCTCTTCCAGCTCTCTAAGGCTATGTCCCCTCAACAGCATTATTTCAGAATAACTGATGTTATTCCAAAATAAAAAGCGAACTGGAGGACTTCTTATTCTGACTCCTGTAATCCTCATTTTACGAGGACTAAGTCAAGTCGAAGGAAGTGTTCTTCCTTTGACTTCCTGATGCACAGACAGTGCCAAAAGCCGAAATAAGCTATTTCAACTTAAGCTACACAATTGACATAGCTCAAGTTGCATAGCTTAATTAGACTTTTGCCCTGCTGTGTAGATGTGCCCTTATAGTTTGAGTTTGGCTTAACCTCTGAAACATGACATTTAATGTCCCTCACAACACTCTTTTTGAGCATTCACTTTTTATAAATCTGGATATTCTTGTTATTCATAAAAGTGTCCAATCATTTTTTGAATCTTGCTACATTCTTGGTGTCAACATGCCATGGCTAGGAGTTTCACAGTCTAATAAAACATTGTGTGAAAAGGTATTTTCTGAAGGTTTTTATAATTACTAGGTGTTTAGTCCTGAGGTAGATAGATTGCTATTCATTTTAACATGTCTAACTTTACATACAGAGACTATTAGTTTTGCTTCAAACAGAGTGCAGGGTCAATTCTTGTCATAACCTGTCAGATGGCAATGCTGCAATGTGTATCTGATAAGTCAAAGTTCTAGTCTAGTCAATGCGAAAGCCCTGCTCCAGCTGAGAAGGAAGGAATACCTGTGGTCTCTGTCTCTCATTTCCCTCCTCTCTATGGTTGCCGGAAGCATGGACGTGAGGGCAGCAACAAACCAAGATGTGCAGGGGGCAGATGCAAAGAAAAACTTTTCTTTGAGGTCCTAAACTGCTCCAGATAGCGCAGATTATTATTTGTTACTGTAGTGTCTCAAGGCCTTGATGTTGGGACCCCACTCTATAAAGCAGACATAAGCATATTGAAAGAGATATTCCCTGCCCCAATAAGCTTCCAAACTGATTAGACAAGACAGACAAAAGAAGCATTAACATGCTCATTCTACAGATGGGGAACTAACACACCTGTTGTTTTCTTATGTGATTTGCCTACAGGAAAACTGCCAGAGCTGGGAACTGAATACTGATGACACCTGATTTTGATTGTCAATTCAATTGCATTACAGATAAACAAATTTTAAAGCCAGAAGAGACCACTATAATTTTCTAATCTGACCCCTGAATAACGTAGGTCATCCAGCATCCCCTTAACCACAAGACATTTATTGCTTTTCAACCACAGAAAGGAAAAGAATTTAGAGGGCTTTTTTTTACTGTCCTAAAATGTCTTGACATAAAAGCACCCTGGTTTTGAAAACATGACCACCTTAACTGATTATCAAATGGAGCTGGGAAAATTCCCCACTTATCTCCACAATATAGTATTGTAAAACTGGCCAGGTGATTTGTGGATTTTATATTTTCTTTTGCTGTATCAGGTAAAAGCCAGTCAAAAATGGGATCCCATATTACAGGGGCAGGGAACCTAATGCCCTGGGCTGGATGCAGCTCCTGCTTGCCTGGATCCAGCCCCTGAGGCTAGGGGTCCCCCCGAACATTAGGGAGCCTGTGCTGGTGCGCCAGGCTCCTCCCCATCTCCAACAGGGCTGCAGGAGAACACACAAAAATCTACTAGCCTGCCTACCCCCTCCAGTGCTCTGATGTGCAAGGGAATGTGGAGAGTATCTTTCTCCTTCCCAGCCAGGAGCCACCTCAGTGGGGGTGTTTTGTTTTGGGGTTTTTTGCTTCTTATTTATGTGTGGCTCCTGATTGATTTTATTGTGGGTCAGCAGCCTTTGACCAAAAAAAGGTTCTCCCTCCCCTCCTATATTAGATGGATGATTGGTTAAGTAAGATATAAGAGTGGGTGTTGGGCTTTCAGCAACACTGAAAATAGATCAGATAATTCCTAATTGTATTAAATCACTTCATCCCAGTTTCCTGCCTTAGACTGCTTGACAACAATGATGGTAGTGTAGTTAGATAGCAATACAATAAACATGTTGCTCTATACCTTCTGAGATATCCTTTTCCAACAGTGCAACCGGCAGATTTACTCATTAACGAAGTTGCATGTTCTCCACCTATCATTTTCTTATATGCAATAAAGTTTCCATCAGCTTTACCAACAAGTTTTTTATTGTTCTAAGCTACACTAAATGCTGGCCTTTAAACTTTCTTTAAAATAGACATTTATTTTTCACTCTCTGCACATATTGTTTCTAATTGGCAAGAACTGCTCATTTACATCTTCTAACATCAACAGAATACTAATCTATAGTAAACAGTCTTTATTACAGTCAAGAATGGCTTAGAAGTGCTGTTAATTAGGAAAACAGTCCTTCAATTCGCTGCCAGTCTGAGTGGGATGAGACACAGATTTCCATAAACTGGATCAGATGCAACTGTATCCTGCTGTATGAAGACTCAGGACAAATGCTTGTGATGCAACATCTCCAACACCTAATTTTGGCCTTGAAACATTTGGAAGTTGGGTAGAGGGGGGTTGGCACAATCTGCTATTTCAAATAAATAGCTCTGAAAATTTTAATTATTCTCCATTCCAAAAGAAAATGTTATGGGGCTAAATCCTACTATTCTGACTGAAGGGAGAAATAAATCAATTAAATGGCAGTTCTGCCAGAGTCAGGACAGCAGTGTATGGACCTTTCTGACTTAAAACTGAACTTCCAAATGATATGTGAAGCACACTGAGGTTCTGATCCTGCACTCTCTCCCATATCAATTGTCCTTCACTCAACCAGCCAGCCACTTTTGACTTCTATGGAACTGCTCTGCATAGTTAAATTTTTGCAAAAATTCAACTATATCAATATTAATTGCAAAGAGAAGTAGAACATTTCTTGTGATTTTAAGTTATATCACAAATATACAAAATCAGGTCTTTGAGATTCTAGCTTTTAGCTCATGCAACAGATGATGAGAGCAAAACTCTTACCTAATTCTATGTTATTCTTCACCTAGGTAATTTTTCCAGAACCCAGCTTTGCAATCAGTGAGGACATCTCTGAATTTCCAGTTTAAAAGGACAAAAAACAAAATCTCTTCGGACAAGGTGAATGCAACAATAAATATTAAAGAAGAGGGGGTGGGTAAGCCTTCATTAGAATTAAAGCTTTTTTTTCCTGTAACTGGTTTTGTTAGAAACTATGATGTTAGAAAAACCAAGCCTGCCTCTCAGCAAAAAGTCTGCCTGTGATTTTATTCTCTTTGGGGAACACTTCAGGGGAAAGAAAACACTCACTGTGAAGCAAATTCTTAAGATGTAAACTATGTTCATTGTAGTGCTTATTTTTCCTTTAAGCCTGAGGATGAGCCCTGCTACCAGAATGTTAGTGGAAAACTGATTCGATTTTCTCCAATTATCCATCTATGAAAACAAAAGTTCAAAACTGGCAGTGAGAGCAGCAGCATTCTCTTCTGACAGAGAAGGTGACAGTGAGCACCAATTTTTGATTTACACACTGTTTTGGATACATGTGACGTGCACTGTTAACTTTCTGACACATCCTGTTCTTTATAAGCTGCATGACCTCATAAACAAACAATACTTCTGAACCTCATCCATGCCTTGAGAAACTGAGAAAAAAAATTCTTATGGACAACGTGGGAATCCTAGTTCATGTTTCTTTAGAAATTTTGAGTGAGAGCAACCACTGAATCCCAATGAGGCCCAAGTTCAATGAAAGTGAAGTACCTGTGCTTCTGGCTTTGTCGGAATATGAAAACTTTGCTAAGCTGAATGCAACAGAAGTCACTGAAACTAAGCAGCTAGAAGGGTCCCTTTCATCCACTATTGCACTGATAATTGTGCTGATCATTATTTTCTCTTTAATAATGACATCACTAGTGACCTACTGTTTCCACAAGTGGCAACTGAAAGGCAAAAAACTGCAGAAAGCACAAGAGGAATATCAGCTAGACCATGAAAAGAGCATGTTCCAAAGCATGTCACAACTTATTTCATAAAACAAATCAATCCCACATGAAATATTTCAGCATTACCTGAAAGTGAAAAAACTATTGGAACCTAAATATTGAAATATCTACATAAATATATCCTTGGTTTACCTAATTTGTAAGAATTCTTAATGGTTTGGAAATTTCCAACAGCTTCAGTATAAGTAAAAAATATTCAATTGTTTTGTTTGTTCAAAGTAAAAACAAGTCAACCATGCATTTTAATTTTATTTACTAAAAACAGTAGTCAAGCCCTGCCTCCCTAAAGGAGTCAAAGAGCCAGAGTCTCCACCCATGCCAATTGACATAGCTGATGAGATTTGACAGAGCCATGCTGATATGCATCAGAAGATGATCTGGCCCCAAATTTCATAAGCTAATGGGTTTTTCTGAGTAAGGTCCACAGAATTTTACTCAAAAGAACACCCAAAGACTTCAAGAAGAATTCCATACAGATGGGGCTTGTAGGTTGAGGCCTATGTTTGCTAGCAGACTCTGTGTTGATAATTCTCTTTATTTTGTTTAGGGTCCAATGCGGCAAATTGCTGATTGCACTTTACTTCTATGGAAATTGAGGGCACTCAGCACCTCAGAGGCTGGGCTCAGATTTATTAAGAAGCATATAAACTGAACACACATTTTTTAAGGCTTGCAATTATTTTCAACCAGGCTTACTATGGTGTGTTTCTATTTTCGTAGCCTAAAATGTTATGTCATGCAAAAGATGCCGACTCTATTGTGGGTAACACATGTAAGTAATATTTTCTAACAAAGTGTTGGATGTAACATTGGTATAAGTAGCTGTTTTAAGATGTAGAAAAATATTTAAAAAATGCAAACAAAAATCCAGCTCAAATATATAGCTTGCTTGCAATTACCATTAGCCAGTGCTGTATGCATTTTTAAATAAGTTATAATACTGTGATAATACTGTACACTTGCTTCTGTAGGCAACAAAGTTCAATTTAAAAACTGGCAAGAAAATGTAAATGTTCTTAATAGTGGTAACAACTAAAACATGGATTTTCAAAAGCAGACTCTGTTATATGCTATGGGTCTATTTTACAATGTATTTATGGATCATACATACTATTCAATGTGAGAACAAATAGTACTATTTTATTACAAAATAAAGAAGTGCAATAAATGCCAATGTCCAGAAGGTAAATAATGATTTCACAGGCCCTCTGATATATTTTATTTGCAACTTGAAAGACATGTTCTGAAAAGAACAAGGCACCCAATACTCTACTGGGGGAAATGGCAAAATAGAATCCCCCAAATCACTCCCTCACAAAGCAATGTTCTAAGCTGTGCTGTGGCACGGCCCCACAGCTGCTTAATGAGCCCCTCTCAGGGCCCCTTGCATGGAACTGCTTGGCGGAGGGAAGGGGGGGGCACTTTTCCCCTCAGGTACAGCAGCAGCTTCCTGGGAGAGACTTGCTGCTCTGTCCTCAGCAAGAAGCTGCTGCTATAGCTGAGGGAGAAGTGCCCTTCCCCCAGCCAGTTAGCTGCATGAGCGGAGCCCTGAGCCCCCGGCTGGGCAAGGCTCAATAAGCAGCTATGAGGCCACACTACTGTGCAACTTAGAAAGAACCTTGCTCACAAGTCAACAATCCCATTTTCATCTCTGTATATGTAAAGACTTATGGTGTATCAGCCATGTGGGAGAAAGGGACAGTAGATGGAGGATAAAAATGCAGACCTAACATATACAGTATTGATTCATGCTTTTGTGGAAATAAAAAAACCCTCAAACATTTTTAATTTTTAAGGAAGTGCCACTTACTATAACACCTATGCTGTATGCAGCAGCAATTTGCACGTTTGTATATCCAGCTAAGTTTTTGTTCAATGGAGACAATAAAAGGTAATTTCTCTGTTACACCAGATAGTATTTAAGTTGTGACGAAGTCTCGG